GAGTGAAACAAGGAAAAACAGCTCTGAAAAGAAAATGCTTTGTGAACACTGAAACATACAAAATAAAGCAATGTTTCTACTGTAGGACCACATACACATCAGTGAAGTCTTCTGTAAAAGATTCTGTGTGGAGTTAAAAACAAGTTACCGTTCATTATACAGAAATGCATAATGCTGACTTACATCATGTTTTCAGAAGGTTGTCTGTCAAACACAATGGGCGGAATCATGGTGGCTCCTCATGGACCTGCAGATCATCATTCTGAGAAATGATGGTGACAAAAAACAAAATGTCATGATTGCACTAATCCGACTGTCTCCATGTCACAGACATATGTAAGCTGCAGCGTTCATAATGCTTTTCATTCAGAAATATTCAGCTCATTACGTCCATAGATGTCACTGATGGTGATGGTAACAGGAAACTGCAGGATGTTAGTCTGAACCAGATAACCAGCTGTTATATATCTATTACACACATGTTGCATTAGAGCTCATGTGTTCTCCATGTTATTTCACCCAAGCTCTCCTCATAATTTCCTAAAAAATCTTATCAAGCTTATCTTGTTGTTCTGTGTGCAGTTTAATATTTTTAATCATGTTTTTAATGGAATTAGTGTCAGTAAATGTAACTGAGTTATAACCTTCATCACTCAGGCCACTCACACACGGACTTTTCGTGTCTTTTCTTTGCACTTTCTCAGAGCACTTTGCAACTATTTTGTTTTCCAAAGTTCGCCTTTCTTTTATTTTTTCGATACATTTCTCTTAATTTAATAACTATATTTCTCTCCTGATTTCCATTTATTCCCACTGTCTACTAGTAGTTTTATATTCTTGCACAGTTGGTGTGGCGCATCTACACTTTCGTTCTACATGTAAAATGACAAGAAAGGGCTCTTCTCTTGTATTTATAGGAAGCAGGAGGCAAACGTTCAGAATTTCATCATCCTGGATAAGCCCCGTGTGTTTTCCCCGCGGGCCGTCACGGGGCTTCCCCGCCCACCTCAGTGAAAACAGATCAGCGGATGTGGGCGTGAGACACTCGGTGAATTTAACAGGTGTGTTTTGTTTCAGAGAACTCGGACACCTTCAACTGCGGCTGCGCAGACTCACCTGTCCAGTCCGTTCACAACCATTTCCGGTGAGCAACCGAAACTGAACAGAGAGAGCGAGAGAGAGCCGTCTGTAGACACTGAAAACACGAAACAAGCCAAACGGAGCCCACGCACCGCGGGGCAGGTAATAGTAATAATACAGTAACAGTAACAGTAATAATATATAATATTGTGGACGCACAAAAACGGTCACTTAACATTATAATCACACCTCTGATCGCGGCCACTTACCTGCCTTTAAAAAGCTTCCCGTTGCGGGGATTCAGTCATTACAACGAGTATCGTCCCGGAAGCCCACTCACAAAACTCAGCAAAGATCGCGAATCCACCCTGTATGTTCATCCACTCTTCCTCTTAGTCCCTCCCACCAGAGCTCTGAGTGGAGGAGGCGGAGGAAGCGAAATAAAGAGGGAGGATTGTTAACTACAGCGTGGACAGTTTTGTTTGCTGTATTTTACGAGCTCAGGTGTGACACGACGTGTTTCATATTTACAGCCGCTTTAAACAGAATTCATAACATGAAGCATTGTGACATCAGGTGAGCTGTTTAAAGACTTTTCCTTCCTCTGTTCTGCCATATTGTGGAAGTAAAAACACTTCTAAAGGGTACAACTGTGCATCCTTCATAATGGCGTCATCTCCCACTGTGACACATTTTAGGACCCGAGACATCCTTCATCATGCTGTGCTGAGACTGACTTCTGCAACAGCATGCTCATCCTTTTGTTCTTTGTGCACACTGCCACGCATCCATATAGTTTTTATGCATCAGATATTTCCTGATAAGTGAACATCTTTTTGAGTTGCTTATAGTTTATCTTCTCAGTTACCACCCCATGTTGCTTTCAGTGTCTTGTTCAGTGTTTTGGCCAGGCAGTGACCTCTGACACCTCAAAAGTCAATCATTTTCAGCTATTTATTAATAAGTGACTTTTATGTATATATATGCCTGTTTATTGTGCCATTCTTAGTTAGTGTATTGTCTGTCTTTGTTAATGTTTGTTTATAATGGAGCACTGTAACAAAAAATAATTTCCCCTAGGGATCAATAAAGTATTCTGATTCTGATTCTGATAACACTATAACCGTGATTTGTGATAAAACTGCTGCTGCCCTTTGGAATTTGTTTGGCAGGTTGTTTCCATAAAAATGGATGAAAATCGCCAGAGTTGCTGTCTGGGCATATCTGATACTGCAGGTGGGGTCACAGGGTTTCCGTCACTGTTACCAGGATTGTGTCGTACATAAGTACCACCATTAGAAGGACTTAAAGATGAGGGGCAGCCTGATCAGAATCTGGTTAGAGAGACAAAGCTGTTGTGATGTTTTGCTTGTGTATGGTTTGTTGAGTATTGAGTTATGCATTTGTTATGTGTGTATTTAACCAGATGATGTCAATCCTTTTGATTTTCTGATGTAAAATTAGCCCTTCGAGCCATGTTCACCAGGTTAAAAAGAACAACGTGAAAATAATTCTTGAAGTGAACTTGTGTGAATGAGGATTTCTCCAATCTAAACTATGCTGCTGGCTCTGGATTGAATGAAGCTGACTGACTGTTGTTCAGGCTGAAACTGAAACTGAAGTGGAGTGGGGCAGGCTAAGAAATAGTAACGCTAGTGCCTCTGCTGTTCCTTTGATGTTTGGTGCCTTTGTTTTGTGAAAAGCAATGCGGTATATTTTTTTCTACTTGGGACAGAGAATAGAGATCAATCTGATGGTCACTGCATGGTACTCGATCCTGGGTTCTTCTGTGATTTCGGTCTCAATGTTTATACTGTGACAGAATTAAAGCAACCAGTGAAGTGATGTTTTCTCGTTTATACCAGAAAATTAATCTGGATCTGTTCTGATAATTGTTGAATCATGTTCCAATCATCTGCATGTTGAAACTCTTAACTGTTTTGAAGTTTTTATTTTATCATCTCTGGCTGTAATCAGATTATTTGAAGTTTTCGTATTGTTGTCCCGCTAAAACAAACAGTGGGAACCTTTCAGCGATTGCTGATATTTACCAGACAAATCAATATTTTGAGTAAACAGTCTGCAGACTGATCAGTGAGGAAGAGTCTGCAGCTGCAGCCACAGATAAATAGAGAAACAGAGGCATCCAAACAGCTGATCTTTGTCATATGACACCATTTTATTGAAAAATTTAACAAGTAATAAGCTGATATAAATTCACCTTCAGTATATAAAGTAATGCAATAATAAGTGAGTGAGAAAAATGATCTGGAATTACAATTACAACATCAATTAATTAAAAATCTTAACATATTATTTTCACTGTTACTCTTTCAATCACAGAAACCAGCCAGAATAAGAAGTGGAGAAGTGTTCGGCTGGATTAATTACTTAAACCTCAGAAAGAATGAGTAGAAACAATTTATTTCATTGGAGGAAAATAAATATCGGCCATTCTAATGCAAATGTGTAAAATATTCACAGATTTTTAAAGAAAGAAAAAAGCCCTCCACTTAGGTTCAGGCAAGTTTGGGTTGAACTTGTATGGATATGTCCCTAGTTACCCCGGGTGGAGTTACATATTTGGTGATATTAGTCATTTGTGCACTTTATTTAAAAGATAACATTAGATTAAGAGACTAAAAGTTAAACATTGGGGCAAGGTAACTGTGAGTAACCTTAACTGTCATTTCTTTTCTTTTCTTTTTTGTTCATATAAAATTGATCCCTGGTTCTTTATAAACAACCGAGTCAACAGGCTGTTAAAGGCAACCGAAGGTCTCAGTTTTAAGATGTTTTCTAATTTGTTCAGATTTTGGCTAAAAAACATAACACAGCATTTTGTTTTAAACACCAAGATGCTATAAAAAAAACAGGTGCGGTGTAAAAAACAAGAAACATTGTCTACAACTGCAAAAAATGTAAACATAATTTGTAACATAATAATAATTTCCTGGTTATTTATACATCACAAACAGGTTATAGCATAGTTATCATTTCAGTATTGTAAGAGTGAGTATGAATAAAAATAGGGTGAACGAAAACATCTTTAGGTAATAATGTGTGAATGTCTCTCAGCAGTTTTTAAATTTGTCTTAATCCAGGAATCTGAAAATGTGTGTTTAAGTGAAACAGACAGATATTTACAGACTTAACTGTACTCTGATACAGATTCAACTGAGTATATTTTTACTTTATATTTATTTATATTAAACTACACACAGACTCACTGAGGCTCTATCCCAGAGTGTAAATCCAGGATAAAGAGGTTCAGTGAATGTGGTGTTGAAGGTGTGGAGGTGGATCAGAGTGTCAG